GATCAGAATGATTTAATGATATCCACTATCCTGAGTCTCTAACAATAGAGTGCAACAATCACACTTGTACAGGATGAAAATGTTGGAAAGTCCATGCAAATATTATTTGTGTCCGTATGCTATTGAAATACTTTAATTCCCTTGCAGATGAATATATTGGACTACAGGTTCAAAGATAATTTTGGGATATCTGACAGACATAGTTAAGACACTCCAGTTTCTGGGCTTATGGAACAACATGCCTCCAAGTGGTGTTGTCATGTTATCTGGAATGGGTTAGAGATGCAATCTAAGGAACTGGAGGATACCCAACTGGGGAAGACTGCCATGCATTAATGGACATTTTTGAAGCCTCCATATCGAAGGCTTGAGGTGGCAGCAAAATGAAACAAAAATGCTAAAATATTAAAAACAGTATCAAATATGTTACTCCTGCCCCTTTTCTTACAAGCTTAGCTCCAGAATTATGACTTTTCACTGCATAATACAGCTGCAAAATCTCTCTCTCTCTCTCATTCTTGCTTTTTAACTTTGAGATTTACAAAGTAGCTGACATATTTAAAGGTACAATTCATGCTGGCTGGAGTATGCTGGGCGTTGTAAATTTTTTTTCTGTCTAAACATGCATAGACTTGTGCCCTAAAAGAACAAGAGCACCTATTCCATCTGACTTATTTTAAGTCTCGTGACTTTAATGTCTTATTTTAAGTCAGAGTACTGGTCTATTTAAGTCAGCACCAGCCATTCCCAACTTGTCTCCACTCTTCCTTTTGAATTTCAATTCCATCAGCAACCATCAGGGCCAATAATCCTCCCTGCTGGAAGTGATATTCCAAAATATCTAGAGGGCTGGGAAAGACTGGGCTACACAGACTGGAGTCTTGCCTAGATATTAAGCCTGGGACCTTCACTTGATCGGCCTGCATTGTACCAGTGAGCTATGGCACAAAAATAGAGAAATGGGTTATTGTAATTCAGTATTGTTTAGATTGACTAGCAGTCATTCTCCTTTTCCTGAAATCCATGGCCCTGCTCTAAGCATCCTACTCTAAACCACTAAGTTTACTTAGCAAAACTGTTAAGGCCCAGTCCTGTGGGGATGCCTGTGTCTCTAAACTCAGACATTATAGGCATCCTGTGAAAGCAGGAGTATAGTGGTCAGATGTGACTCTGCACTGCTTTCACTCTCTTTAGAATATGTCACCTCTTGGTGGCACCAATCTCCTCAGCAGCTGTCCCAGCCCCACTCCCCTGCCACCAAACTTCTTCCCCAAGATTGCCACAGTGTGGGAGAGCGATGCAAGCATGGAACCCCAGTGCTCCAGCCACAGAACCCTTTTCCAACCCCAAACCTGTGAATTTGAAAAATCCTTGGGCCCTCCAGTTGCTGTCTAGAGGCCATAAGACTTCTCTGCCTGTATTAGTAGCAGTATTATATGTTGTTGTTTAGTTTCTGTTATGCAATTTCACCAAGGTACATAATGCAGCCTACAGCATAATTAAAGGAGATAATATGAATTGCAAAATCTAACATTGTCTAAACAACTCTAGATTTGGCTTTGATTTTAAATTTACAGTACATGATTATTGCTATCAATAAAGAATATGTTAGGGTCTGTAGGATGCCATTTGTGACATGCATTATACTTCAGAGACGTGCCTCAGTCCTGGCCACCATTTGGTATCACTCTCCTGAGACAGTGGGACAAAGAATTTGGCATGGGCTTCTGAAAGAACTACATTGTCTTCCACTGATGCTTGCACTGAGGCAGGCAGAGAAGACAATAATATTTTAGTGGGCTTTTCTAGAAAGTTTATTTTGTTTTGAAATTGTTGCATTATTTGCTATTTTTCTTTTTAAATAAAAAAGGAAAAATAACACTAAGTATTATCATTTTCTTACATGAGTTTTAAGAAAATATTTTGCAAGAAATACATATACATATGTTCCTCCATGAAAAGGCATTTAATTACTTTTAATATTATATGAGGACACTATGTCAGCTGCTCAACAGATCTTGTGATTTAATTTGTGCTGGCTTTTTAGCTTTTTAACCTTGGTTTTAAAATGGTGTACTGTAATTTTTATGATTTTATCATTCATTACATTTTATACCTTTTTCCATATTTTATATGCTGTTGTAACCTGTCCACAGAGTTTTGGCTGTTGAGAAGTATAAAAACAAGATAGTAATAATAATAATGTACTGTGTGTCCCTATATGTTTTATGTATGGCAAGATATACTACCATTGTATACTGTGAAGATAATTATGCATTGACTTCAACAAAGGCAGCCCAGATATCCATGTATTGTATGTCCTCGTGTTGCAGCCATCCAACACTTCTTTCCTTTTGGCATCAGGTGAAACCCCTTTTATTCTCCCAATATTTTAATTGTTAAATTGTTTTAATTTGTGGTTTTACACCAAACATTGGATGCTGTGCTACCCTTACTCTTACTTCTATTTTTATTCTATTTTATTAATGTTGTTGTAAACCGTCCTGAGACATCTGTGATGGCTGCATAGAAAATTTTAAAATAAATAAATAAAATGTATTTGTCTTTTCCTATCTTACACCTAAAAGCCATATACTCAAAACTCAAAAGTTTCATCAGGTCCTCCACCCTCCACCCTAGGTCTGGTCTCCAACTATTTAGGGCTGTAAGGAACAAAGAGCACAACAAGACTGGCTCATTTGTCCAAATAGAGGAGGCTCTCCTATTTGAAGGCATCTTCTATAAGAATATAAGGACAGCCATGCTGGAGCAGACCATGCGCCTATGTGCTTTGAACAGATGCAGTTTAAAGATGAAGAACCACGTGTTCATTGTCCATGGATTTTGAATGCCTGAATCATTGGATCTGCCCAATATTATGAATGGATCTTTAATTGTCATTCACTTTTGCAAGTGCTCTGTGGTTGTTGTTTTTTGTTTTTTTTGTTTTTTTTTTGAAACTTTGGTTCATAGCATCAATTGCATCCCTGGGTTGTAACGGAATTCCTAATGAATTTGTTCTTCATGGGACTTTGTTTAATCGGTTAGGTGTGATGATATTCATTTGCTTTTTGCAAATAGGATCTACAAAGCTGACTGATATGAACCTGAAGCAGGTTCTGCACTTTTAATGTACTAGTCTACATATCACTTTGCCAGAAATGCAGCAAGACTACCATACTTTCTAGGATACTATTCAAGTAGGGTGCTGCAATCAATTATTGCTATTGACAGGAAAATATATATTGTGTTTTAATTGTCCTGTTGTTATTGGACTAAATGCAATATTATATGAGCAGATGTCCGTTTGTGTAACTGGAGTTTCTTTTCCATTCTCCTTCCATTTGTTCTGGAGGGTCCCCCAGTTCTCTGGGCCAGATTGGGGTTAGGTGCAGAGAACTGTATTTAGAGAGAGGAAATTCAGTTGTTCAGTCTGCTTTACTAGCAGAAGGACATTATTGGATATAATCCATTTGTATTATTTATTATTTTGCAGAGCTTCTTCCTTCCCTTCTTTTTATATACATCCTCTTTCATAGCTTGGTTCTGGAGAGAGTACTGCCTTGGGAAAAGAACTAACTCTGCAAACCTACTGTATAAGTAAATGATGAGAACAAAGAGATGATTTTCATCCTTTAGGAATCATAGAAAGCTAACAGACTCTTGAAGTTACCAAAGCAAATGTCTTGCCAATGGAAGTGGAATTCATCTGATTCATTTGCTGGAAAAAGGCCTGCATAAAAATTTTGCCTTGTAGAGGCTAAGATATGAAAACTCCTGCCACACCAAATTTTCATGATATCTAATATAAAAAGTAGGGTTTGGGAGATTTCAAATAGTTCCCTGGGGTGAGGTGGTAAGGAAAACTGGTCTTGAGCAAGTTTAGTGCTGAGTTCTGGGGCAGGCAGTCCAAGGGCCAAAGAAGGATGACATAGTCAAAGACAGATCTGGTGCAAATCAAGTGCCAGAAGCAAGAGACTTGATCACAGGTGGGCTGTTGGTGAGATACTGAATTCATACAGTAAGGCTAGATGGTGAGTCTGCATTGGTGCAAAGAACCCAGCCTGAAGCAATAATAAAATAGGGTTGCATCTAACTAGAGGACTTTGAAAGGAGACTGGATAAATTCATGGAAGGGAAGGCTCTCAACAGCTACTAGTCCGGATGGGCACATGCTACCTCAAAAACATGGGTCGGATGGTGTGGCTGCACTCATGTCCTGTATTTCCCATGAGCAGCTGGTTTGCCACTGCATAAACAAAATACTGGGCTAGACTCAGCAAGTCTTTTTTACATTCAGACGTTCTTAGGGTGTTCATTCAGAGGCATGTGGCCTTGGTTCCTAGTCAAGAGCCATCATGACCACTGCTGCCCGAGTGCCTGGCACCTTAGAAAATCCTGCCTTTTTGGTGTTTCTTGGATTTTCATAGCTGTTAGCAGTCCCAATATGCTGCTGTTCAATGCCTGCTTATCATTATCATGATATAATAAACACAAATTGATTCCAAATTGAAAGCAGACTGAACTGGAATTGATGTTTGCAATTATCATTAGCCTCTCTATTGTACATGTGTGCATTACCCTCTCTCTACTGCACATTTCAACTCTTCCAAGTGTTGATCTAATGAATCACTAGCAGAACCTAGTGAGATACACCAGTATTATTGTTGTTCCAGCACAGCAGATGGGACACTGAGGGAAATTAATGGTCGCCTAAGTACACAAAGTGAATTAATGGCACAGGTGACATTGGAGTGAGCAACCTCTTGCCTCTGTCTTAGCCATTATCGCACAACAGCTTTTTACCCACAACTACCTTTTCACAAAACTCTACTTTGTCTCAAAAAAAGGATCCCTGGAGAATAAAAGAAGAATATTCATGCCTTTCTATTGTACTTGTTCTTCTTTGCTGAACATGCTTTGCACTGGAACATTTGATACTTCAATAATTGTACAGATCAAATGTATTTACCAGGCTTCTCTTCTCTATCATCTTACAGGTCTTGTAGAAATTTGCCTGATGCACCCCCTCGATGTGGTGAAAACCAGGTAAGGTTCTGCTTGAACAAGTTTTATTGACACTGGAAGCCTTCCAAATTGGAAGCTGTCAGAACTCAAAACGCTAGAACTTGTCCAAGTAAGATAACTTCACCATTTAATGGCATTTATATTTACTTACTGTGTTTCAGTGCATTTGACAGGCAGAATTTGAATAGCGTGATGCATTTCTGCTTGGAGGTCATCTGGAGGTGCTAAATACTTCTTTATAAAATGTGCTCTCTTCAGGTGACAGCCTGAGATCCTGTTCTATTTTTTAAAAAAGGGAGGAAGGGAATGCAGAGTTGGTATATGCTCTTTCCAGCCATATTTATCATCTGAAGTAATGTTTTGACTTGAAACTAAAAATGTCATATTGCCTTAGAAATAAAATAATCTTGATGGTAAATGTGACTTGACACAGTCAGTCAAGTTTTAGAAAGTCAGCAGAAATGAGAATTCTTTAAACCTGTATTTGCAGATGCTAGTTGGGTGGTTTCATGCTAGCTACCTTTTGGGCATGTTCAGTGACTTCCAAATGTACATTTGTAGTTGGGCTAGGGCCACTTACTCAGTTAGTTTGGGAAAAACACTAACCAAAACATTGGGTTTAGTTCCTTACCCATAATCACAATGTTACAACTGAAAGGGAGAGATCATTTTTGTTCTCAAGCTAAACGTTTTTTCAGTTTTATTCCTAAATAACAGTTGTTCTCACAATTAGAAGAGGGGACTGCATTGCACACACATGTTGATCATGTGTCACGACCTTTGCATCTCTAGGTACCTAAAATTATAGATCAGAAGAATTTAGCATACTGGTATGTTTGTGTGTCTATAAGCCCTGTGAGTGTTCTTTTCTCTAGACTAAGCATGCAGGGAGATACGGTAATCCATTAAAACAGCTGTTGAATTTTCACTGATATTTGGGAATTTAAAAGTTACGTTTTCCAGGAAATTCCCTTTCAGTCACATGGAAATCCTTCCATATCAAAGTTGACAAGTTAAGTCTCTTTGCTTAACAGCCAACCTTGAACACATGTAGAATTACCTACTTTAGTGGTATGAGTTGTAATGCCTCAAAGAATTAGCACATCAGAGGACAGTAATCAGCATCTGAAGAGACTGACTAAAGAGGAATGAACAGGAAAATGTATTAACTATATCTGTCAATACTGCATGGTTTTAAAATGTGATTTTCCTTCTCGTTCATTGCATTTGTCCCAACAAGTATTTATGCAATCTGGTTTTTCTGCCAGAAAATTTCCTAAAGAAATTTCATAGAACAAGTATTCTCAGATACCACACTGCCAGCTAGAATGCCTATGTTTGCCCTCTGTTGCCTGAAATTCACTTTAATGGAACAAAAACAATAATGCCAGTAAAGGCACACATGAACAGTAAATAAGCATTTGCTCAGTCAATAATTTACAAGTTATTCTCTAATGTTTCAGCTCACCAATTGTACCAAAATGCATTTAAAATGTAGCTTTCTGAAAAATATCTGTAGTCATGTAATGTTTTTCCAAACTTTCAGGCTAATGCAGCAGTGGGAGGGACTGGGCTTATGCTGATCTATCATTTCCTTATTGGAGATATTCACTTGTAGCTATATGTGCATAGCCCCACTCCCATCACCGCACACAAACACACACACGCGCAACCTTGCACCCTCTCTGGAATGCCACGGGGAGGGACTCCTATGAGTGACGTGGGGGTGGTGCAGCCCTGCTCATGTGCTGGGCTGAATGGATTTCGGGGTGGCCAAATAGGGATAGTGGCATCCAGGATTGTTTTTGCTCAGGTCTGCCTGAGTAGAAGTCATGGGGGCTGCTGATACTGGCATGACAACTCTGTACCATTTGTTTTTTCTTCTCAGGTATTGCAATCTATATGTAATGTTCTGCCACACAGACTTTTTTTTGTAGGTACAATATCTTGTACATGTCATGAGGAAATTAGCCTAATCTTTTGCCAGAAAAGCCAACATCTGACATAATTTGCATGCCAAATCATGCAAATTCCAGATTCTGTTTCTAGCATCTTCAGATATAATTGAAAAAGACACCTACCTGACACCCAGACAGCTCCCGCCTATGAGGGTAGGCAAACTTTAGGAGCGTATTTGGGCGTATGTGAGTGTATTTCATAGAATCATAGAACAGTAGAGTAGGAAGGGGCCAAGAAGGCCATCGGATGTAACTCCCTGCTGTCGCAGAACACCAAGCCCATAATTTGAGATACTGTCCTGGGCATCCCCACAAAATGGCTGCCATGGGAAGCGTGGTAAAGAACTGAGTAAAAGGCAGAGCAGAGCCTGATCCCCAAATGCATACAACTCCTTTGAATCCATAGGTTTCCGCACCAACGGAAACCTGTTTCACGGTATTGCCATTGCTAGTAAAAAAATGTGTCAATTTTAATAAATAGGGGTGAGTGAATCAGTAGGTGCCAAGAAAGGTGACTGGGGGCATATTGGTGGCCATAGATACCCTGTTGCTCACCCCTGTTGTAGACAGAGTTAGATGTAACAGTAGTCTGACTTGCTATAAGGTGACTTCTTCAGATTAGTTGGTTTGCTTTTAAATATGGTAGAGTGCTGAGACATGCTGTTCCCTAGCTGCAATTTGAAGTCATTTAAGATCTGAAGTGGTTCTATTCCAGCAAGGATTAGATTACACAACTTTGTTTTCTGTGTAGCTTGTCTTATTAAGGCCAAAACTATGATGAAAAAATATTCAGAGTTGAAGGAAACCATAAGGAATAGAATTAGGGAGGCAGGGACACTGTAACAAAGTAATTTTGGCCAACATGTAGAACACCCATCTTGGTACACTTCAACAACATCACATTAGGCATAGACAAACATTCCCAAACTTTGAGAGGGCTCTATGCTGTGTGTTATCTGGATTTCACAGCTTGCTACTGCCTATTTGCTAAAACAACACTCTAGGTCAAACATCTTTGTACTATATGAAACACAGGCATGACTGAGTGTATTCCATGGTAAGGGCCCATTTCTAGCGGAAGATTAATCTCACATTTCTCTACTGGCTATTCTTTTGCAGTTTATTCTTGTGTCCTAATTCCTGATGTTTTTGTCTTATTAGACCAGACTGGTTTCCTACATGTGTTTCTGATCTCTTTCCAGCAGTTGTTTTGCAAGTGCTTTTTCCATTTATATCATTAATTTCCCTTTGATTCTTTGCATTTTTCTATTTAAGTAAACACTGCTGAAATCTATTCTAAAACTAACCAATTTAAAGATATGTATTACCATCTGAGCTCCCTTTGTTTCTAACCTTAACTGGATCCACACCAGTCTGCTGCTTTGCATGTCTGGTCAAATGCACTTGATTGTATGCAATAAGGGTAATTCATAATCCCTGTGTCAAGTCTGAAAACTTCTTACTGTTACTGGGGTTTATTGATTGCCATTAAGAGATTGCTAGTTGGCATTCTCCTCTTAGCACTTAGAATGCCTAACAGGTTGATTCTATGCATGCCTGCTTAGAATAAAGTTTCATTTAGTTCAGTGGAACCTGGTCATTTGCTCTGTTTTACTTTCACTTAGAATCTGTCACAAATTAATATGGGTATATTGACCAAGCGATCCAACTAGATGGCCCTTCTGACTTAATTCTTGCCCCAAACTAAAGAATGCTATTAAAATACAAGTTGAGCAGATGATTTATTTTAAAGCATTCCTTTCCTAATCATTTACAGGGATGATACTAAAGTTATAATTTTACAATCCTTTTGGATGAAAGGAACTGTAATATTAATCACAGATAGAAGAAGATGCTCAGATTAAAAACCAAGCATGGATCAGCACGTTGATTTTGACCAGATATCTCTTAGGTCATTTTGCTAAATCTGCTCATCAAGACTTTGCTGAACAGTTAGCAGAGTACATTTGGTACAAGGAAAGCCGTTTTGCCCTCATTGTTCAATTACAGTGTTTTATTAGTTGACAGGTATTGGGCCTTACGGTGAATTAAAGAACAAAATACCCTCTACTTGTGCAAATGTGTATTTACGAATGTGTATGTGTGTTGCAAAGCTTCTTGGTGAAATACAGATGGAGGATCACTTGTTACATCCCTGACGTGGCAGACCAGGCCACTCATTATCATGGCTCAAGAACAGATTTCTTCCTCACCAGCACAGTGTTTCCAGGTGCAGTACTTTACTGTTTGCCATGCAAGTGAAAGGGGACAATTAACATGCACTGGAGAAGAAATGGAAGCATTTCATTATAAGACACAATCAGAGGGTTTAAGCCTGTTTCTTTTTCTGCATCATCCCTGTCATGAAGAATGAAGCCAGCTCCTATCCTCCTAACTGTAGGGTTGATGATCATTTGTCTCCAGTTTAACAGGGATGGGCAACATGTGGCCCTCCAAATATTTTGGACTGTAATTCCCATCCATCCATAGAGCCAGTAGGGAGCCAAAACAGCTGGAGCCCACACTTTTATTAAAAGATCACTAGGAGAAAAATCACCTTCTGCTAGGTGTGCTTATGGTAGGTGGGGAGGATCAACAACATCCAACCTGAAAGGGCTCTACCATTAGGCACAGTAAGGCAGTCCTGCACCAAGGAGCTGATTTTGGACATAATGATAGGGCAGAATCATTTGTGGGATTTTCTTTTTGCCTTGCATGCCAGAATAGTTTTCCTAGCCTTGTGTGCCAAGACCAGAGAAGTGTGATTTGTTTACTGTTCTGCCTCAGGATGTCCTATGTGATGAATGGCTCCAGATCTCACCTACCTACGGATGGATATGTTGGTGGGACTTCCTCACAAACAGCAGGGAAGGGGGACCTAATCATGTTGAGGTTCCTACTTATGTGTGCTTGAACATGAGTAGAACTGTCAATGTGATTGGGAACTCTTTCTTTGCTATTTGTGGTGAATGGATGCTGAGCTAATTCAAGAAAAAGGCAGAACTGACATATCTAGGGGGTAAGGCCGGTGTGCCTTCTTGAGACTGCTGGAACAGAATACTA